CACATGCAATCATTCCCCCCAATACTTGTTCTTGTGTCCATCTACATTACTCATAGTTCTGTTGACCGTTCTATGGTAAACGGACTTGTTACCTCCATCAATCTATTTGACATAGGTGTGGTTCCGAACCGCTCGTGATTGGATCATGATTCAATTGCATTGCATTTTCTTTTGCATTGTTTATACATAGTTTTGTATATATATTGCATATCATTTTGCATTCATTTTGCATGTTATGCATGTTGCTAACGGTATTGTACCTGTTAAGTTTGCTTTCTTTTCAGGCACGATATTGTATGTACGGTTCATTTGAGGCTGGTGCAACCAGACGAACCGCACAGGTATTGTATCCTCCGAGTGAGACGTATCGAGAATTGCATAATTCTCTTACATCCTTTCTGCATTTGTAATGTAGTTGCATTGGTGTATGCTAGCTTAAAACTGTCCCATGTGTGCTTCATTACAGCTTTCTTTGCATGATCATAAGTTATGTTTGGCTCTATGCATTGTCTTGCATTTTTCCCCTGCCTTTGGGCGCATATCTTGTTTGCCTTGCATGTTTGTCTGAGTCTTCGGCCTTGTCAAAAATGGGTCGTCTCTGGGCTTTGACATTCACTCCCGTCGTTGTTATGACTTTCGAGTTCTATCAAAGAGGGGCAACTATAGACACCCCATTTTTGACCGTCCTCAAGACTTGGATGTCACCATTAGAACACTGGTGATTACCCTTGTTTGTGTTCGTCTTGAGTTCCCGGAGGTCTCGGTTGCGCGCCTTGCCTCAGGACCTCTCGACTCGATCGTGTTGTGTTTGGTTTTGCACCAAATAGTTGTGTTTTGCCTTGGAGGGGCAGAGAATGCCTTGTGAGGCATCCCCACACATCACCGGCCATGGCTTGAGGCCACCGGCCAGTGATTTGTGCCATCGGCAATAAATATTGCCGGTCGGCACTCTTTGTTGCCAGTCGGCCATTTATTTTGCCAAAATGGCAATTTTGATTGGCCGATCACTGTTCATCTACTTTTGATTGATATTTTGTGCCAGCTGTGATAGCTGGCACCCACCTTTTCTCCCCTCCATACACGTGTATGGAGGGATTTCTCTCTTGACAAGCTTATTGAATAAGCTTTACAAGAGGGAGCTCTATAAGAGAGAGTCTCCTCTCTTGGATTTGGGGTTAGGCAACATTTTTAGAGAGCTTTGATATTAGGGTTAGGAATTTGTATCTATTC